TGCAGACCTGCTATTCGAGCGCAACTGGGTATGGCCATAGTGAGCATTCCTCTGCCTGGGAATGATTTTCCGGGGGTGTTTCAAAGAATAAAAAAGTAGCCTGCATGCCCTTTATTGTCCCAAGGCCTAAGCTAGAACATTTCGGGGGAGGGAGAGAGATAAGACAAGCCAGTAGTTGCATGTATGAGACTGTACACGGGCCTGTGTCCTCACCAAGAATGCAAGCATGGGTGGTAGGTAATGTGCTAACAACTGCTGTTGTAAGCTGAACTACTAGTATGTCTTCAATTCTGGGGAAATCAGGAGTCAGAAGAAGGGGAAAGAAAAACAGGAGATTTGCCTAAGAATCAGAAGATTTTGAAATAAGTTGTTTGAGTGTTTAATTGCTCACGCTCTGAGCTTTTGGAAAGTGTCCATCTAACGTTTCTTATGAGGCTAAATTTGCTGTCTAGCAGCGCTTAAAATAAAGAACACAGGGAGTTTTCCTCAGCAACATACCTCTAAGAGGGATGAGCATTTTGAGGGAAAGCACCAAAATGCACATGGCTTTCAGTAACATCTCAAGGTCTGGTAATACCTCTAGCTGTCCGTGCAGGAGAGCTCACCTGCCCAAATGCACAGACAGAGCCTCTTACAGTTTGTGTTAGTGCAGCAGAACACATTCTGGTATCACAATGTCCCTACAGAGATGGAGGTGTCCCTATGCAAACAAGAGATGTTTGGTTTTTGCAGCCCTAGGTCATTTTACTGTCCAAAATGGGAGGCTGCAGAGGAAAGAGTGGCAAGAGACAGGACTGGGAGAGATCATACCCATCAGGATGGCTTTTCTTCCAGGCTTTTCTGCCTGGTACGCACCAAGAAAAGAGACTCTCTGAAACAGGTAGTTCTGGTCTTGGCCTTTCTTTGCACTTACTCAGCATTACAAGAAAAATCTGGCTGTGAAACACTTGTCACTCACAGTATTCATGTTTTGCCAATTGATATGTGACTCATGCTATTTCACAGCTGTTCCAGAACCTTTTGCAACTACTTGTTTATTGATGTGTGTAAAAAAAAGCCGATGAAAAGGTCTAGAGAGTAACTGAGCTTTTTAGAGACTTACTCACAAGACAGTGCTATGGGAAAGAATTGGATCATGTTTTCAGGGCTCGTGTGAGTACTTCACATAAGGCTCACAATGTTGGCTGCAATTTGTTTGCCATGAAACATAAGAAAATGGCAGAAATGGAGGCACCGAGGAGCTATCTCAAAGCCCCTTGCCCTTATGGCTCTTCCCCTTCCTTGTCATCCCACAGCCAGTGTGAAGGAACAGTACTCAGCTAACAGCAGGGGCTGGGGCTCCTAGGACACGAGGGACCTTTCCCCTTTGGAGGAACGGGTGTCCTCTTTCTCCTAACAAAGCAGAAGTCTCCAGGGTGTGTACCCAAATGACATCCTAGCTGTTGGGGTCAGCAGCAGCTTGTCATCAAGAGGTCAGTTTGCTTCTTCTGTCCTGTGTTTGCCAGTAGTTCCTGTAGGGTCTCCAGCACAGAGCCAGGCAGTCCTTGCAGCTTAGGAGCTGGGAGAACCACAGAAACTGATTATTGCTTTTGTGTTGGGTGCTCAGAACTTTGCAACGTCAGAATTCTCCCATTGTGATTATTTTTGTTCACTCAAGATTTATTTAGTGCATCATAAAACTAGATGAATATGTCTTCACCACTGCAGTTATTGTTTTTTAACCAAGTTACAGAATACAGTGGACTTTGAATGCAAGCACAGGCTAACCCTAAGAGTAGGTTAATTTTTAAAGCATGAAAATCAAGTTGGTGCATTGTTCCTAAAAAGCACCTAAATTGCCAAGATTGTGTTTAAAAGTAACATTATTCTTTTAATTATTTTATTATGAATAATTAAAAAAAAATAGATTTAAAAGAAAAAATGCTTGAAAAAAGGGAGAATAGAAAGATCAATGAAGCAGGCTGACTGCAGGCAGCAGATGCTGATTTTATAAATGTCAAAATAATGTAACATTAAATACACTAAAGAAAGTAGTTCTATTCTAACTTATACTAGAAAATCTGTACTTGCTGAGATTTCAAAGGTGATTGCTTTTGTTACTTGATTAGTGCTGATAATATGTCTGAAGTTGAACCACGAGCTCTATCTACCCTGTTGTTAACAGCGCAGCTGCATCAGTTTGAAGACTATACCACATTAATGTACAGCTGTATTTGACACGGTGTCCAGCTTTTACATAAACGTGCACTCCAGTCCAGCTCCTTTCAAACTCTTCAATGCTTCCCTCAAACCTCCTGTTCACTGGAGCCATTTTGGGAATGGGATGTGATGCTGTGATTGACTCTAGAGCAAGCAGCTATTTTTAGCATTTACATATTTGCTACAGAGCAGAGCCCAAGATTTCATTCCGTTAGATGAAATCTGAACTGATTTGGTTGCATGTAATCCATGTCTGAAGAACAGTGGAATATTAAAGGAGTATCATGCCTCAAAATGACAGAAAAGCCAATGATCCTACTGTCCTCTCTCTTTAAATATGATTAAACCAAATATGTGTACATAATGGAAAAGTAAATTTTTGTGTTCATTATTTCTTACCATTCTTTTACTGTGCTCTTTGGAAACAGTATCTTTCTGGAAATAGTATTCAATTGTTTTTGTCTACTTCATGAGCTGTGACTTCATGAGGTATTAAGCTGACTATATGTGACTGTGGGTCAGCACTGCGTATATGTTACTGTAGAGCTGAGTCTTCCTCTTTGTAGCTAGCGATCCAGTTCTCTCACCACTTCCTCTGTGCCAAACTGCACAGTGTTAATGGCACTGAATTTTTCACAGGTGGGAACATTTTAATACATTGAAGAATTTATCTATTCATATTTTACTAACGGAAAAGATTTCTTTTTTTGCAGTTTTTTTTTATGGTTTCCAACAGTGCCTTTTAGGATTGTATAACAGCAGTGCATAAATCCTCAAGTGAACTTGTTAATGCATATCAGGTTCATCAGCACATAAATAGCTTTCGCTATTTGTTGTAGACCCACCATGTTTTGAATGCTAGAGCAGAAAAGTAAAGTCATTTGGTTTTGTTTATTTCCACACTCTCTCTACTCACAGCTCAAAAAGTTCTACTTCTGCGTTCTCCCCTATTGATGCAATTTTGATTCTCGGGCAATGAGTCAAAGAACAACTTTTGTTTCTCACATAATGAAGAAAAACAATTGGTTCACTGAGCATCATTATCTTTATGATACATTAATTGTTAATGAAAAGATTAATATGGACCAATAGTACAAAGTTTTCTTAATTAAGGGTAGCTAAGAGGACAATTTTCCGGGAACAAAAGAAAAATGAAAGATAAACGTTTTTACAAAAGTATGCACCAGAAAAATATTTGCAAATGCAGTCATTGTGAAAACCAAGAAGTATACCAAGCTGAGAACGTGAAAGACTTTGCACTGCATGCAGACAGTTTCTATATAAATTTTTCTTCCTATAATGATGCAAAGGGAAACAGACACTGAGTAGCATCTCCTTTCTAGGAGTAAATCTAGTGCTAGTCTAGTGCTAAATCTAGTAAACTCAGTGAAAGCTTCTCAGCCAAAACAATATCCAACTGGAAAGTGGAATTCTGTTCAAAATTTTCTCCTTAGGATAAGGATGTACTTTTTTGATGGAAAAAATTCAATTTCTTCTTAAATGTAAGAATTGGGTCATATGAACAAAACAATTGATTACGTTTTTAAGTCTCAATTTCACTTCTGTCTTTCTGTTATTATTTGTTATTTGTTTTTTTTCCTCTGTTGTGAATTTTCAAGGCACCTGTGTTCTCAAACTGAAAAAAAAAAACCAAAAAAAAAAAACAGTGACAGCGCAGCAGGAAGGGGAAAATGAAATTATTTCTCATTCAGCAAATTGTAGCATTTGATGGGAAAATATTTTTACTTCCATATGTTTAAAAGCTCAGCTGCCAGGCCAGATCCCTTCACAAACCCAACATGCACAGGGATCTGCTTGCACACATAGAAGCTAGAATAAATAGAAGCTCGCAAAATTAAGAGAATTACCTAGTTAACAGAGGCTCGCTCAAGTGAATATACATTGCAGCTTGGGGTACTGTCCTTCAGCTGATAAAATATTTTATAGCAATGATCATAAAACCACATGTCATTTCCTTTGTTTATAATCTTTTTGAGCTTTGAGAATATGTTCAAGAGATCTTGAATCGTGTCTCCTGAAATGACAAACCTACACAATTCAAGTGTTGTCATACGATAGGTGTATAGAAGAGCGGAAATCTTACAAATCCCGCTGGCACCATTGATGCCAATAGCGTTGGCTGGAGGTGCAAATGTTCCTGCCGGAGCTGTTGCAGTGGAAATGTGCACCAGATGAACAGCTGCCCTCCTCACTCAGCAGGCAGATTCAGCATGCCGAAATAGCTGCTACATAAAGCACGGAGAGAAAAGAGCAGATTAACGCTATTTCAGCTGTAAAGTACAGGAAGATGTCTTTCCCATTGTGACTATAAAAAGTATTTTCATATTTATGTAATATTTATTTCCATCTCTATGAGTGGGGCATTGATACAGACTGTTGTGCATTAAGATAGGAAAATGGCTTGAATATTCCATTGTGTTATTTATTCATTCGCAAGCATCCATTACACAGTTTATTTTCCAATTAATCCTAACTATCAAACAAATGTTCTTCTCCTTCTCTATCCCCAACAGTGACTTCCTTCTCATGAAACAGTTTTTTCTTTGTGAGAATTAACTAGATATTTCCTGGTGATTTTCTTGTGGTTGGTATGGTATAAGAATAACCATATAACAGCAACTGGCAACAGTGCTATTTCAGAAAGACCACTTACAAGAAGACAAAGTTCAGTAGTCTTCAGAGAGATTTTTTTCATGGCAAACTGTACTTCTAATGTGTTTCTGAACAAGGAAAAGTGGGAGATAAAGAAACAGAAGTCATTTTCTTTTTTCTCTCTACAGTTTTGGACTATGTAGCCCCTTCCCAAAGTTTCCTAAAAAAGAAAGAAGGATGAAAGATCATGAAAAAAATGAAAGATTATGAAAAAACTGAAAAGACGGAAGTTCTTCACGTGCATCAATGAGCTATGAAAAGGTAAGAAGCAAGGAATGAGAATAAATGATTGAGCTGCTCAATGTAGAGATGTCAAGGGAGAGTTCCTTGGGAACCAGTAGTGATCCTAAGCTATTTTCCTTCTTTATAGATACTTGCTTGTGAGGTAGGTGGTGGCAAAATGAATGTACTCACTGATGTGACCTTAGTTAGGGCAAGTAAATTATAACACCAAAACAGTAAGGACTTAAAAATTTTACAGAAGACTTTCTTGCTATAGAGTGTATAGGAAATAAAAAGACAGATGAAATCCAGTACAGATTAAAGCAAATTAGCATACATGAGGGGGAAAACACAACTGACACTGTGTGCACAGTAGCAAGCTCAGAACTGATTACCATCATGATTGCACTATCATAGATTCTGAAAATATTTAGTCAGTGCTTAGAAGTGGGGGAAAAGAGTACATGAACAGAATTAGGAAAAGAGGAAGGAATAGGAAACAGAAAAAAAGTTTGGTCATTACAAAAAACCATGAGTGCAGCTGAAAGGTTAGCATTCTGCATGGAAAAGAAATAATGGATGAGGAGTTTATGGAAAGCTGTAAGAAACTGTCAGTCATGAAAAAAGTGCCAAAGGAATTCTTCATCTCCTTCTATGCAATAACCAGAAGCCATTGAAAGAAATTTATCATTTATTCAATGCAGACTGAAAACAAGCCAAAGATGTTACTTCTCCTCACAGTGTGCAGTAAAACTCTGGAAACCACCACCACAGGATGCTGCAGATTGTAACTGGCTTGTGTGGTTTGAAAGTAAATTAGAAAAATCAATGGAAGAAAAAGCCCTCTGTTAAATATGAGGACTTCCTTGCTCAGGAAGCTCCTGAGCTCCAAATTACTTCAGAGTGAGGAAGCGTACTATGGACAGAGCACTATTCCTCTGTCTTGTTTTACTCTCTTTTTGATAACCTGACACTGGCTGCAGCTGGTGGCTTGGTGTCCTGACTTGTGGTTGTTACTTTCAGCCAGCAGGAATGTAAAAGTAGTAGCTTGCCTTTCCTCAGAGCTAAAATGGGTAGCAACTGAGTAACTTGTAATACAGCTGCTTGATGCACTTTCAGAGAGGAAGCATGTAGTGAGTTTTGGAAGAAAAGATGTAGTAATAAATATTTAGATAAAGAAACATATTGAGATGGGAAAAGGCAAGATACTTGAGTATCTCAAGAATTGCCTTGACTGTTGACTGTTTAGTGTTGTCTTTTCCAGGAAAGAAGTGGGAAAAATGACATCTCATTGCTGTTTCACAGAAAATATTATTTGAGACGTGAGCAGTGTTGCTGCAAAGAGCTGATATAGGTTATTACCTGCCACAGTGAACACTGTATGACTTGAGAGCTAGAAGTTCACCTCCTGTCCTTTGAGAACTTCAGCAAGAAAATGACTTGTCAGAGCCTTCCACGGAGACATGACTGATCTATCAAGGCCTACTTCCACATGTACAGTCAGAGCGTGCAGTCACAACCAGCTATGAAATCCCATTTGAGTGGAGGTTTGCAAAGTCAGATCCACAGCCAACCAATGTCCTTTTATGTTCTTATCCGTGCACAAAAAAGTAATTTCAATTCATGATTCAGTCTTATATTTGCCTTAGGAGAAATAAGAGATTTGATTTACTCCCCTGAGAAGAATTAAAACAGATGGGGTATATGTTTTTCACATGTTCTCAAGTATACAGTGGCTTAAAGGTTGAGTTCAGTTGCATAATCCTAGGGCTACATGTCTTGCTGTAATGAAAACATACAAAGAAGTCTTTGTTTTCTGAAAATTCTTCTTCTTTTTTTCTTTTCTTTTTTTCTTTTCTTTTTTTGAAGTGAAATTCACATTTGCTATCTCTTTTGAGTGAGGCTTTGAAGCAGAATGTAGCTCCCAAAGGTGGGTAATCTTCATGCTAATTTACTGTGCAACAATGTGCATTATTAAAAGGACATGTGAATGATTCATCCAGTGAATGAAGAAAAATTATTCCAAATGATTATTGATGAGTTAATCAAGATAGCCACGTCAACTTTCTTTGTCCATTACTGTGAGCAGTATTTCACAATCATAATAATAAGAGCCAAATGTTAATGACCGAGGTAATAAGAACCTAATGAAGAGCAGTGAAAAGTAATCTCTTTAAATAGTTTACAGTTTTCATAATCACTGAAGTGGTCAGTTGGTCCCACGATTCTTCATATTTCTTAATGTATGTTTACTATCAGCTTTTGTTTTTAACTTCTGTTTTCTTTCTCCATAAGGTGAGCAAATAGAGAAATTAAAGACCATAAAGCTGTATAATAGCGTACTAAACAAATCCCATTTTGTAACATGAATTCTTTCTAAGACAAAAAGATTTTTCACCTGGAGTTATAGGAGCCTGCTGCTGCCTTTAATTTCTTTTCTTCATTAATTCTTTTGTTAGAAATAATCCCTATCATTTCTAAGATCTGAGCACGGATTTAAAGTGTATTCAGATAACTAAGATTGTTGACTGCTTCAGTGTAGGAAATTTCTGGGGAAGAACATTTTACCTGCTTTCTTTCCTGATGTGCTTGTGATACACAGATGAAGAATTCAGGCACTGGTCTGGGTGATGAACCCAGTGAGCAAATCTACTCAAATTCCTTTTTGTGATTGGTATTTTTTCATTGACTGTATACTTGATTTGGCTTTTTTTTTTTTTTTCCTGCAGTATCTGAAGTTGTTCTTTCAAAGTATGTTTTTTTTTTCTTCAACATAACACTTGAAAATTCAGTGAAAGTGATACTGTTTTGTGTTACATTAGACTGACAGACTTGCCAGGTAGTTCTCCTTCAGAATGGTCCACAAAACATCCATCCATCTTCTTTCTTTTCCCAAATGATGACAATTCCTAGGAGCCTCTAATCAAATTTGGACTATTAGTGGAGAAGATCAAAAGCCACAAAATTAGAAAGCGTCACAGAAATGTCCTATGTGGCTCCTGCAGTGCCATCAGATAGTAGTAAAGGGGGCTGGGGTATGTATAGTATGTGGAGAAACAGTTTGGCTTGTGCAGAAATGACTTTCTGACTCCATTGGTCTTTTCCAGTTCTCTTTCCTGGACAAAAAACTTCCATTTTACAGGTTCCTCGTGTGATTGATTGATTCTGAAGGCTAGATAAAGTTGAACAGTTCAGCTTCTCACAGTTTGTTAGGCGGGAAAAAACGTAACATTATTTTGCCATACGCAATCAATTCGATGTGGACAGGAACACAACTTTGTCTCGTTGCTCCTCAGACTGCTGAGAGCCATTTTTCCAGGCTCAGCAGGACTTTTCATCACCAAGCCCAACTAACCCATGTCTTACAGCCCACTCAAACTTCTTGCACACAACCCACTCTAGAGGCATTGCCTGTCTCACACCAGTGTTGTCTGGACACTCATTGCAAGTTGAGAAGGTGCATGGTAAACCTGCCTGCTAAGATGCTGTTTTGCTTGTGGCTCCCCAGAAACTTTTCTTTTGCTTCTTTGTGTGACAGACCACATCAGTGGGAACTACTGAACCCCAGTGCCTTGACTCAAGACATTATGGCATGTGCTTCAGGTGAATGACAGTTGCGGACCATGATGCATATTAAAACACCACAAATAGAATAATAAAAGGGGATTGGTGTTTCAGCAGCTGCTGAATTTGTAAAGGTTCTTACTGCAAAAGGATTTGGCAATTACATGCTACTGCAAGTTGTGAGAAAGTTTAAAATCTGATCTCTATGCAAGTCTACAGTATGAACAATTCTGCCATGATAGGAAGCTGAGCTGGCTGAGAGAAACCTTGATCAACATTCTTCATTTCTGGCTTCTGTGGGTGGAGTGAGAATGAGTAAGAATTGGCCTGCCATAGAACAATTAAGAAATCTAGACTAGCCTCTCCAGTGACTGCCTCTCCATCTGCAGAGGCAGGACAAGTCAAAGATGCAGTGTATGAGCAGCCAGAGCCTCTGGTACAACAATGCCAATGCAGAGTGGGCTAGCTCCATGGTGTAAGCTCAGTGTAGCTCTGCTGACATCATTAAGTTAGTAAAGACTTCTATTCATATGCAGCAGATCCAGTGCAGACATGGCCCTGGCTATTTAGGCAGTGTTGTACACTAAATAAGTAAGAGTGTCTGCTTCTAAAAGTCTCCATGATGTTTGGTACATAGCTTCTGGATGACTGAATGAGTGTCTGCACAATATCGGGTAAATTGCATGGCACTATAGGAAAGAAGTTATGGGGTGAGATAGAAAACCTCCCCTTGCAGGAGGCTGATGTATCCTCAGAGCTGACAAAGTAGAAATCTTGTACTCCTGCTGTCAGATGCTTGTCCAAGTCCTTTGCTTGAAGAACAATTAGATAAGGACTCTAGATCTAATCTTTAGAACCTGCCCAGGGCTGCAAGCAGACAGCTGATGTTCTTTTGTGGTATAAAATACTGTATTCATTTTTTTCAGACTCAGCTCTTTGGGAATATTCTTGGAAATCTGGAAATAGCTGTATCTGCACAAGCATAGTGATGGTTGCAGGAGAAATTTGATGTGTTGCTTACTTACTACAATAACTCGAAACGGTAGACACAGTTACTGTGTCAAATAAAAAGTGAGAAGGATGATCTGACAACTTTATTATGGGATATTGTTGTTTGGAAAAGTCACTGTTCACCTAGTTCAAAATGTCTTGCTGTTTCCTCCTGAAGGGGAGAACATCTTGGACTGTTAGAATGAATGGCTTCAGAGTATGGGTCAGAAACACACTAATATAGAAAGTGAAGGCAAAATATACCTTAAAATTATTCTAAGTTCCCCAGAATATATATGTATGTCTGTGTGTACATATACTAGCACGGCATTAGGTAGGTAGCTGGATGTTGGCATTTTTGCTCTTAGGGGCTTGCAAATAATAACTACTTTTCATAGTCCATTAGTTTCTGTTGCTAAGCTGAATTTACCCTGATGTGTTTGTATGCATTTGTTTGTACTGTCTAGAAATGGAGGGAAATGCAAGCTGATTTTTGGAAAGCATGGCCCATCTGAGACATAAGTGTAAGTGTAACACCAGGCACTGTCACATATAAATCAGAAGGACCAATTTGTCCTGGCTTGGCCTCAAAACAGCTCTTAGAGAATAGCACGACTGGCAAGCTAGAGAACGTAAGAAGTCCCATCAGTTCAGAGTCTGTCTGAATTCTGGGGCCTGGGAGTTTTGGAAAGAGAATTTCATAATGGATTCTTATTTTATACCACAAAACAATTTTGTCTAAACATGGCATGTGGTCTTTCCCAGAGTGTGGGGAGAGTGAAAATCAGGTCTGGAGCCAAGTCCTGTCATTTGGAACACTTCAACTAGAAAAAGAATATAATACTTTTATATTGTTTAGTATATACTGTTATATCTAAGAGTATGCTCGCTTACACTGTTGTAAGCAAGAGTAAACTTGGGACAAACTGATGTAATGGGAATTTCCTAAGTCTTAATCTTGATCCTGCCAGGCAGCTTACTCCTTTTCATTTTGTAACGTGTTATTTTTCAGCAGCTTTATGTTATATAAGCTTCTAGTAGGACATTTGAATTATCACTTAGATAAGCTTTGGTTTCCTTTTTGCCTGTTTTCCTTGCATTATCTGACCTTTAGAAAAGTACTATTAAAATACATTTTCTGCTGTACGTAAATGATTTTAAGTGAATTGATTACTAGAGATACGACATTTGCATGCAGTGTGAGTTACCTATGCATGGAAAAAGAGATTAAGAGAGTTCTTTTATCGGGTCTGCAGAATCACATTTCTGTTGGATACACGCCTGCAAATCAGTGGCCTTGTAAGACCTCTGAGTTTTGATTTACAGGTTACAGTTAAGTTTTTTGCCCATTGCTGTAACGCTTATGATTTCACTTAAAACACTTGTTACTTCTTGAGACACTTGTTTGTGAACTTAACCAGAGATACAACTTGATGCTGAACTCTATTGTATATATCTCTAAGAGTCAATTAATTTCAACCTATTCATGTCCCCATCTGGTTCCTTCTGAGATTGCTGCCTTTGACTGAACCGAAGCTTTGCATTTGCACAATATGTAATTACATGTAAGCATTTATGTTGTTCTGCTCTCAAGTTCTTAGTAACCAATCTGTCTCTACTGAAGGCATATCTTTCCCCAGGAAAGGATGTGAGGCAGCAATGGTGGTGCTTGAAAACAACAGCTTGGGATTGCTAATGGTTTACAGCAGCAGCCTGATGACGTACTTTTGCTGGAAGACCAGCTCTCTGAACTGCAGGAATAAAAAGCAGAGCTTGGCATCTGAGAGCAAGTGTGATCTATGAGATGAAGTGACCCAGCCCAGGATATCTCCTGCTTATTCCCTGCAACCTGGCATTGAATCTTCATGTCTGACTCTTCCTGTGTTTGAAACAAACTCTTGTTTTTTTATAGATCTACTTAAGCACCACATATGCATTTGACTGTAACCCCGAATGAGGCTGAATGTGTATGTGAGAAAGATGGAAGTAAAATAAAGTAAATGAAAGCCCTCTCCAAGGATTTTGGACCACTCCAGATTCTTTCAAAGAAACAAAGGTTTCTGTTTACAAAGTGAGACAGCAATCAGTCTCTTTCTATCTTTGGGCCTTGCGTCTGCAAGGTGCTTTTAGAAAGTGTACAAAATATTTTACGTTTTTCAATTTCTTCACTTCTTGAGTTGGCATATGTGTTTCTGTGCCAATTCAGTCTGGTTCCATGCATCTTCTGCAGATACTAGTGTGCAGCAAATGGTCCCTTCATTCAAGTTGGTTCCCATTTACAGATTGCATTCAGTTCTTCTGCTGCTCTGCCTCAAAGCCCTTCCCAAATGGGGATCAGGCAGTGGCACAACCGTGGTAGCCATGAAATGGTAAGCTTCATGCTTGGAGGGGTGTCTTTGTTACTAGCAAATCCTCTGCCAGTTAATTGCAGCTGTAATAAAATTTTAGCTCACTTTCTTTGTGAGATACCATTGGCAAGTCATTCAGCAAATCTTTCCACTCACCCACATCCAGTAAGGTTCCTCTTTTTTTTTCTTTCTTTTTTTTTTTTTTTTTCCTGAAACGAGAAGATAGCTGTTACAATTCAGCCAGTCTGTATTTTTCCTATATCTGACCATCCCTTTTGCTGAAAGAAAACTACATGAAGTCCACTGACCATAAAAGGATGGCTTTTGTTCTTCATGTACTTAGTTGGTGGCTGATGTTCATATGTCTTCTCTGCTTCAATTCAAGCAAATACCCTGATTGAATTGGCAAATTAACATGACAATGTCAATGTCAAGACCCATTACAATAAAGAGAGAAAGATCTTATTTGCAGAGTAGTTTCTTAACAGCCTGGTTATGGAGGAGCACTTTCCCCTCTGGAACTGCATAGGTCATGTAATCACAAGGAATAGTCTGTGGTGATTAATTTGTTCATCTATTTTCATGCTTTTCTTCAAAAGAATTCCTGAGAAGACAACAGAAATGTCATTTATCCAGCTCCCATCACAATCCCTTAGCTGATTTTTTACAGAAGTTCCTAGAAAAGCTGTTTTTCATTCCTACAGTTTTGTTCGGTGACTTTAACTGAGGCAGACTGGCACAGGCAATGAACTTCAAAATTTTCTTTTCTTTTCTTTTCTTTTCTTTTCTTTTCTTTTCTTTTCTTTTCTTTTCTTTTCTTTTCTTTTCTTTTCTTTTCTTTTCTAGGGGGATGTGATTTGGCCACCTGAGGATCTTTCACCGGCTTTGTGGAGCTTTCAGCTGGTTTTGAGGGCCATATCCTGTTCCAGCTGTATCTGCACAAGGTTTGTTAACACGATTTCATTGTGCTCAGCTGTGTGTCAGAGTTGTTTTTTAATGCCCTCACTTAATCATAAGGATATTTAAATGGTTCTCTCCCCTGATTATGGGGACTTGCATGTTTGATGATTCCTGTGATCCTTAATCTCGGAAATATCCTTGTCAAGTCAAAGGAGCTGCAGTGTCTATACTTAAATAGAGTGACAAAATGGATCCTTAACATTTATATGAGTGATATAGTAGAACTAAAGGTTCTAGGTGATGTTAGTTGTCTTCAGAACATTTTTGGCAACATTGTGTTTTGTACTGATTGTGCTTAGCTATCTTGGTATAACTGCTGTTGGAATAATAAGCAGAAGAAAGTATATTCAGGCAAAAGACCCCCAGACTATGCCTTGGATCCACCCTGCTGCATCTTGAGTTTATCTTGGGGAAAATGTTCAGGGTGTTGCAGAGTCTGACCTATTTCTTGCATGCTACGTTTAAAAAAAATAAATACATAAAAAATCAACCTCTTTTTGCTTTGCAGAAAGAATTTTATCATGGCTGAAAAGCCAAATGCAAATGCTGGTGCTTTTGGTGCTTTATAGTGCTGAGACCGCTTCAGGAGAACATTGGTGGGGAAGTTTGCCTGTGAATTTTCTAAAAAGCTGAAGATGAGCAACGCAGGTAAACCTGAGCCATCGCCTGACTCCTCATTTCAGAAAAGCATTCCAAGTTCATCATTGTTCCCCATGAAGGTTATTGATTAATTATAAAATCAGATGCTTAGAATGGTTACTTGAGGGCTTATAAAATTGGAGTAAAAACAAATAGGAAAGATTCAAACATTTATAAAACAGATTTATTTCCGGAATATTTTGTTTGAATAACTCCCCACTAATTTCCATCACTCTGTTTGGGGAAAAAAAACCACTTCTATAAAGCTAGTTTTTAGTCTTCTTCACTGTCCTTTTCTTTTTGCTTCTTTTCTCTCTGATACTTTTTTGTACAATTCCCCCAACACACCACAATAGCAATGTAATACTGCTTTCCAAACATACATGTGTGGAGGATGGCTTTTTCTGATGGTTAATACTTGATTTTGTTGCTCTGTTAGCCCCTCCTCTTGAAGTGGTGTGGCTGTTCTGTCAATTTTTTTGTAAGATGAGTGTGTGTTTGTATGTGTGTGTGTGCAGAGGGAGTCCAGACTTCTGGTTGCTCTGGGCCACTATAATGGATGTTTAGTTGTGAATTGAATGGATACAATAAATACCACCTCTTTGATAACTAAAGGCACAATGGTTTTTAAACTTTACAAAACCAAACTGTGTTTTGGTAGCAATGAAATGTATGTTTCTGGTAACAGATTTTATATTCTCTGTTCTGTGATTCTATATATGCTAGAAACTATAGCGTTAGGAGTTTCTTGTTTTATTCAGATGACATGGCTTTCCCTTTTCCCTTTAATTGTTTAGCTCTGTTTAATTTTCAGTGTTACATTTTAAACTGCACTGAACACAACACTTTTGAAGAAGAATGAATTAATAAAATGGGGTAAAGTATTTTTCGTTACGACTTTAAAAAAAAGCAAACAGATGACTTTCTGGAAGGCTGTATGCTGCAGTCTCTAAACTGCTCAAGTTGTTGTCGTGTGAACTCATTTGTGAGCAGGAAGACAGAGGACTCATCAAGTGCCTCATTCCATAGTGCGAAATGAAGTTTGTGGGTGGACTTTTCACTGGCCTGCATTGTGCTTTGTCTCCTTGTGACACGCTGGTTAAATGGACAGGACGAGCCTTTGTAGCTTTGCAGTGTCCCATTGTTATTGGCAGAGAGAGAGCAGCGCAGCACTGGTGCAGCTGTTCATTAACTGGAGATTGGAAAACACGGTGCAGGGCAAACCAGAAAATGCTAGATCATAGTTTTGAATCTGAATCTCGAAGATGCTTCTGGCAGTGTGAAACACTCCCTTTCCTTAAGAACACGATCACCTCTAATCCTCATTGTGTGACACTGCAGATGGAGACAGTATTGAGCATCTATTAGCAATTCAGATACGCAGGGCTGAGACCAAAGTTTTGATCTTTTATGCTTTCTGAGGATGTCTGAAGAGTATTTTTGGCCTGGGGGTTTTACACAGACCTATTTGTGAGAAATGCTGAGCTCCCATTTCTTTTCTTTCTGCTTTGCTGAGGGTGGGGTTCTGAAAGCCACTGCTGAAAATTTCAGTTGTAGCCTGTCTTTTTGAAGTAGTTGCAATTTAAATACTTTGTGAGCATAAAGTATTCTAATTTCCTCTGGAATAACAAGCACCTTCTTTTAACAGTAGCCGAGGGGGAGCCAGCTAGAGACACTTTTCATGCAATCTCCCCAACTCATGCGAAATATCATACCTCAGGGTACCATACATGTTCTGCTTAGCTGACCTGGACATTAACCATTGCCTTTAACTTTAATAAGGGAGGAAGGGATTGACCAGGACTGCAGGTTTGGGATGTTTGCTGGAAGGCTAAGATGTGCTGCCACCTCGAATTGAGGGCTATCAGGTGCTTTCGCTGTTCACAGGATCCCAGAGCTGAATGGCCGCTGTCACGTAGGACAAGCAAACCAAGGGGTCCAGAGGATGTCATGTGTCTGTTCTCATGAGGCATTTCAGATGTCCTGGAAAAGCCATTAAAAAATGCAAGAACACTGTACTTCATTCCTTGTGCAGACAACAGTGCTGGGGAGCACCACTCCAGGGGCATTTTAATGCTGGTGTGAAGTCTAGATGTTTTTCTGGCAGGTCTGTGTTGATGGTTGGGGAACTGGGTTTTCCTGTAAACTGGAAGGCTTGTTTTCTGGATACTCCCGGTTTTATCATGGTCATTGAAATTCTGTTAATATGGACCAATTTGCCCTCGCTATTATTTACTCATTAAGCATTTTATTTAAGAAGCAGATATCACAGAACAAAGTAAAAATATCAATCGACATGTTGATCACAGAGAAGGCAATCTGTCACATACATTTCCTCTGCAGAATGCTCACAAGTACGGGACTCGTGAGATGGCAACTCTCTGTTGCTTTGGCTATGGTGCAAAAGATTAAAGCATGGAGCAGTTTGTTTGATTGATTTCAGTATAGCAGAGTCCTTTGCTAGTATGTGACCAGCGGCCCTGAGACAAAGGATGATTTTCAGAACGTGGTGGGGGAGCCTGGGGCAACTTTCACAGAGGTCACAGAACGCGGTCTGTCCCAGCTCAGTGGGTAAGTGATCTCCCTGCAGGAGAGAGCAACTTCTGCTTTTACGTACCTGAGTTTCTTATTTGCTCATTATATGACAGTATAAAAGACAATCAAAATTAATTAACATATCCAATCTTTTTTTTTTTCTTCATAAGTCTTTTCAGTTACTGAAAACTACTGTATTTTCCAACATTAAAATACTGCACTGAGTTATCAGTATTCTTGTGTACTCTTTCATGTTCAAAATACAGAAGCGTACTCCTAGATAACTCCAGATAACTTCCTGTCTTTAATTTAGTACATGTATGTACATGATACTTTTCAGAAAAATATAAAGAATCTCAAAAAAAGGTCAATGTGCAGAGTATGAAGTAGTACATCACACTGCCTTCCCATATTATTTTTCATTAATGAAAATGTTTAAAAAGTCATAAAATAATCATGGAAGTACTAATCAACAATCCTACTAGAGAATGCACTCACATCTGTATTTTCTTTTTTTCTTGTGATCAGAAAACACTGCTCACAGAAACTCTGTCAGTCCTTTTATCTCTGCGTAGGGTCACCTGGAATGACCTCAGCATTTCCATATGAGCAATAAAGAGCTGTGCTTTTCAGTGCCAGACTTGCTTTCTGGTCCAGCAAGTATAGGAACAAATGCTGAGCTCTTACTATTGTGAACTGCATATTTATAATTTTTAAAACACCTATTTTCAGAAGCAAATTAAACTCCTTTAACAGGATTCACAAAGTTACACAGGTACTTAAAATGCAGATAAACTCTAGCTGGGATTTTTAAAATGAGTGTTGGGACTCCAAAATACATAATTGCACCTTTGGGTCAGGACTGACCCTGGTTTACTTCTTGAAGATGGGACTTAGGAACCACTGTCTCTCAGAGAGATATCCGAAAGCAAGCAAATATTTTCCTATACAAAGCTGGGCTTGAGAAAGCATATGTTTCTGTGTTTTACTTCATTTGGCTGACACTTACACCATGCTTTAAATTCTACAGCATGTGTGCAGCTGACTGAATTTCAGCACTGCATTTCCTGAATCTGCAAGCTTTGTGCAAAAAAAAAAACAAAAAAAACCAAAAAAAAACAGACTTCACTCATGGTACCAATGTATGAAAGTTTCTTAGAAACTGCCACATCACCTGAAGTCCCTTAAGACTCAGCAGGTCACCTTGGTCTTGCCTGGGCTCTTACAGCAAGCAGCTTTAGACTCTGTTATGATGTCTCAAGCTGTCTGCGATAGCAACTTGGTCTTGTGTGTAAAGCCTTTCCTTTGCAGGAGTGCTAAATACTCATGCAACTCTCTTAATATACTTCGTAGAAAAAGTAACCCATCTTTTGGCTAATCTTAATCCATTTTTGGGCTTGTTTTCAGTCAGGAGAAAAAACCAACCTTGCTATGGCCATCACAGTGGGAGTACAAGTTGTACGTAATTCATTTTTGGAGTTCCTAGCACTGCTAGGACAAAAGGTTTAGGATTCTCAACTGCCTTAAGGTTCAGCTGTTGCAGTGTCTCAGGGCAATCTGAATTGTCCTAACCTGATGACTGAATTAGGAATAAGAACTAAGTTTTTCTAAGTTCCTACTACTTTGGTATAATTTGGGAACAATTTGGAGCAGAGTATATTGCAGCCATGGTTTTGCAGCCACTGTGTTTCATTGCAGATGTACCCCTTGCAAATAGAAACCCCTGATATGGTTAGAAAGTACATTATCTGCTAAGTGACAATATGTTTGTTAAAATTATGTTTCAAAGTAAATCACCAACGCAAGCAGGCATGCAATCTGGTGAACAAAAGCTGTTCAGTGCCGTGATGCACGTGCAGGCAGCATCCACTGCTCAGCATCTGCCACGTACAGGTGATCAGCCTGCAGCTGCTCTGACACACAGGTGAGCAGTGTGGGAGAGCATCTCTGATGCCGTGCTGCAGCCAGGAGCATCTGCCACTTGGCAGACCGATCCTCTCCCTCAATTGAAGGAGTCCTATCTGAGAGCGCGTGCTTTAGCAATGCAAAGACTTTATGACACACAAATGGAGAGCACATGTTCTGCTATAAAGAGTAATTGGATGAGGATCTGTCTTCTGAAATACTGAATGGAGAGTTCTGATCTGCATGCATAAGTATAATTTGTTCTCCAGTCCAGTGCAACACTTAGATGTATGCTTAATTGCAAGTCTCTGAGCTGCTCTGAAGAAAAGCATTTGTGGGAATACCATGCTAATGAGAGATGAGAAAGCAGCCACATGGATGAATACATGGGAATGGTGCCTTCTTTTTGCAAAGCACTCTCATTGTGCTCTTACTAAAACAACAGCAACCAAGCAATCTATTAAAAAGATAGAAATAAAATAAGGGGGAAAAAAAGGAAGAAAAAATTGCCCAGAGTAGAATAAAAATAATGGCAGAAAGGTGAACAAAAAGCCTGGCATTCTTCTGGTGTTCATAACAATACAGATTGTTCCATGGCGATGTCAACCACCTGGAATATTTAGATTAACAGTGTGGAGATCCATGATGCCACAAGAAGATTAATAATCGCAACAAAAATGGGATGAAATTCAGTCTCCATCCTTTTTACATATTTGATCTTGAGTTGTACGTTATGTGACAGGACTGCAATTAATATCTCTCGTAAAACAGAAGGCTCATTAAATTGGTCTCATTATGGTTGTTGAGGTTGTGTGACACTGGTGAAAGGGATTTCCCCATTATCTGTGTTTGACACGTATTCCTAATCAACTGGGCCAAGTCTGCTTTATCAAAGGGCTGTCACATGAGTGGAGACAATATTTATTCTGCCTTGTACTATTAAAGTAAAAAATGAAGGTTGCGTTGGCAAACACACAGCCTTCTGTCACAAATGGCCACACAGAGCATTTATTGAGGTGTTCGCTTTCTGCAAATGTGATTCTAAACATAGCCCACTTCACCTTTCACTACCAAGGATGCAGGACACTTGTTTTTTCCAAACCCCTATTTTTAAGGCATATTTGTTAAATGAAATTTAAACAGACTGTGAGGATATTTCTCAGCAAAGAAG